ATTGAACTCAAGCCAACACACAAAGTTGGTTTCCCTATATATATATATATACACAGGGTGACTTTGAAGTTGAGTCATTAATTTTCAGATAATGATTGTAGAAGGAAGATAAACCAAAATATGTGTGTAAAAATTAAAAAAATTTAAATTTTTTTACCTTGTTTTATAAAGTATCCTCCCGACAAGTATTTCAGTGCGGACCTGTATTTGATCGTGAGATCTTGGAGCACCGGCATGCAGTCCCCTGTGTGGTCTTAAGTCACCTGATTCACGAGCCCGTTGTACTACATTAACAAAGGCACGAGGGGTTGGTTGCACTCGATTGGGAAACCGATCCGCATAAACATGTGCCATTTTTTATTTCGTTTGAGCCACGCAACAGACACCACTATTCAAACGCGTTACCGACTGACACTGACTGTATACAACTGTCTAAAATAATTGTAAAAACATCGTTCCAAATTCTTTCGCTTTTTTGTTTCCGATGCGATGAACCAAACACGATCACATAATATTATTATTGAGACAGGGCGGTACACAAACTTCCAAAGGGCTATAACTTTGTTACTTTAATTTTACCAGAAAAATGGTAAAGGAAAAAAACATTTCTTTTGATCAGATCTACTCACTGTTAAAATAAATGACTCAACTTCGAAGTCACCCTGTATAGAGAGAGAGAGAGAGATTGCATCAATTGTCAAAAACAAATTGAATGATATACATTCTCCATGATGGGCTCAGTAAATATGTTGATATCGTGAAGACGATGGGGATTCTGGAAATACCTTCCATATTCCGTCAGTTTCACGTCAGCTGCGAGTGTACTCGCATATCTCAATCTAGTCAAGTGCCTCATTACATACGCGTACATAATAGCGCCGGAAATGCCTCTCTAATTCGACGTGGTGGGATTGGGTTAGGTTAGGAGGGTCTGTAATAGACGTACATACAGGGCATCTTAGGGGCTTGCAGAAGTGGATATATACTCACTATCTACGAATCCAGTGACGTTTCTCAGTTGTAAACTCCAATGCGAGGAATCCGTCAGGTCCATCTATTCGCTGGGTGCACGCTGATAGCCCCACCTAGCGTATAACGCAGAGAAAATGAACTATCATCAAAATTACAGCTATCTGGTCGATTTGCGGTTAGGAATAATTTGACAAGTGATGACAGCGAGATACTTGCGCCATTTTTACACATATTTTACAATTATATTCAACTTCTGTCAGATGGTATTTCCTTTTTGGTCAACGCGGAAGTGATAACATTTCAACAAAAACAAAGATAAAACGTCGACATTATTGCCAAAAAAACAAGCTGGTGAAATTATTTTTGCTGGGTGTAACGCCTCTAATGTCACTGAGTATACATGCCTCAGGTAAAAATAATTATAAACACTGACTTCAGATACTGTAACAACCACTACTATCTTGTTACTAGACTGAAACCAAAAGTTATTGTTGCCCAAGTCAGCTGGACCATTTCTAAGCAATTTTAAAGTGGTCCGTGGTCGTGTCACAATACAAAGGATTACAATTTTCACATAGTTCAACAATCAACAAAATGCTGCACAATATTTCAAAAAACATATAAGATACTAATTGTTAAGGTCCAAAAAAATCAATTAAACGTGAAGTCACACCTATACTGCTGATACGTTCATATTTGGCTTAATTAATATATTAACTGAGTTATCGTTTTACCTTTTATAGGGCGATACCTTTTATATTTCATAATTACTTTTATAAGTAAATTAAGAATTAGGATTTCATCTGCGTCAAACAATTCTCTCTGAAAATAAGAATCACTCATGGTTTGAGATTCTACACCTTTCAGTGCATTGTATGCTACAGTTCCCGCTGTTTGTCAAAGAGAGAGATAGAGAGAGGGTTCAACGACATAACCGCATACATTTCGGAAGCTGATTATAGAGATGTAGTCATCGTTCTTGGCAGTCAAGTCATCAATGCAATATGAAATAAGTAAACAGATCGAGTCTCCATGGACGGAACACTGCTCAGACTAATCTTCAGCGCATCTGCTACTCTCTCCAATACGCATGAAGTGGGTAACAGGGGACCGATGTTTTCGTTCTCTTCCTGGAAATACTCTAATAAATTTAGCACGAGTTGTCGGATTTCTCCATTGGTCGTATTTTCGGGCACTGTACAATTTTATATTAAAGATTTATTAACAGGACATCTCGAATTGCACGCCGATATCAAGTAAGTTGTCATTCTGACAAATATGGTCGAAGGGTACTCATACGTAACGACAAAGTTTTCGAGACGGAGACACAGAACTAAAAAACGTATGGCTTTGAGCTTACCGAACAAATGTTCACATACACGGGTAGGTTGCATATGTATGTATGAGGGAGATGGTGATATACTGGTAGTCTTACGTTGCCCGCCAAGAACGGTGTCTACAACAATCAAAATTGATGGGGCGGAGAGACACCTATATATGGGGGGATATTATCGGCTGGGCGTTTATGTGTGCATGCGGTCTATAATATCTTTGTATCTACACCTCTGATCCATGCATTGCTAGCGCAAATTGAAGGAAGCCAAAGTAAACGATATACCTGCAGACGTAATTATTAAATTGAAATGTTTGAGTCATGTTAATTCAGCTTAATGTTCTTATGCATTAAGTCATTATACTCTATATAACTGTACCAAGATATGTCTCTATTTCCTGAATAGATAAGATTTATTGGAGAAGCTGTCGTACAGACTTATTAGATTCTTATGTTTTTATATCATACATAGGGTGTTCAAAAGGACTTGATACGGCAGCCGATATTGAAAAACATGAACCCAAAGGAAATTCTACCTAGGCACAGATGTACCTGCAAAATATTTTCCTGGCTATCTGACGGTGATTCTGAATTTGATAGTCAAGGTAGACTTAAGTTCATTAAGTTCATTTTTTCCATTGGTTTCTATATTTCTGACACCATGGATTTAAAAATAATTTGAAGGTCTGAAAGGAATTCTGCAGAAGCATGAGCTTAGAATTTTCACTAGGTATCAAACGGTGACCTTAAGGTTGATCTTTGCCGTGACTTTGAGATCACTTCAGGTTAAAGATTATTCTTTTGACAGGCATCGTAAAGTTGGAAATGGCAGAACGGTTACGTTCAGAGGTCAATTTTCCCAGCAGTCAAGAACTCAGACCAACGTAAAACTTTCCTCTGTATGTCCGAGAATATAGCGTCTCTTCGAAAAAAGTGACTTAACCTGGAGCTCATTTCAAAATGTAAGGTTACTGTCAGATAGCTGGGACAAGCTCCTGCGCCCCTGTTCTTAAACTTATTGTTATCTGGATTATGTGCCGTATTCAGATTTCTGAACACCCGGCATAAAATCTTGGAGAAGTGAGATTGGTGTTGGTGACTAAAAAGTTTTCCTGATCCACATCGTCATATTAACTTTTATAAAATGTTGTGAAGTCAGCATATTTGCGGCACATACAATCTAAATTTTTTTAATACCAAACCGACTTTTAAACTGCCTAACATTAGTAGAATTGGGAGAAGCCATCCCAGAAACATTATTCCACAATCTCGACACCCTCGGCAAAGAAGCAGCCATGCAGGCCAGTTGTTGATGTACGCAGTTCGACACGCCCGTTGATATGCGGGTAGTAGGGAACTAGATCGCCGACAGCCCGTCGCGTCGATGCGAAAGGGCCACGAGACTGTCCGTTAGAAAGGAGTCATCCATCAGTCGGATAGCCCTTCTCTGAACAGTATCGCGCTAGGATAATGCATTCGGGGTGGCAGCACTGCAAATATGTGAACGCTACTCGAGGCCTGGTTTTGTCTGGGTGAGGAGGTTATGTGAAGAAAAGTATTTCTTAGCCCTGAATAAATAACCTAGCGTTTTCTGCGGTGATCTGGACTCCGACCAGCCGAAATAAACGGCTCTTCACCAGGACACGGCCGTCCATCGATACCGGAGAGCTACCTGTCATAAAGGTCCAACCATAACGCACGATGTTAATTGTGAGCAGAGATAAACCCTTCTAGCGATGGGAAACTCCAATACTAAAATAAGTTACCGTATTTCTGCGGCCTCTGGTGGATTGCTCTCACACCAGTGCTGAATAATGGGCGTTTCCGTCTTAGTAGGACAAACCTAATGGGGCTTTTTACATTCTGTTAATAATAAATCGTCTTACGTAACAAAAACACTCCAAATGGGTTAATTTACACTTTCTTGTCATTAATACATGACGCGCATTTCGACACACAGTGTCTTTCTCCAATGCTGGGGTGAGTCGCGCGTCACGTATTAATGACTAATGTAGCAGAAATTAAACCATTCGGAGTGTTTTTATTACGTAAAATGGATTTCCGTTGAAAAAAATGATAAATCATCTTTACTAGGGGCGAGGTTTAGCATAGTGCTATTCTGCCACGTAGTCGCAACAAAAAAAAAATACAAAATACTAAACCTAAAATAAGTTGCAATGATATGATCAAAATTAAGTTGTATAAGGATAGTGTGCATAAAATATAAATAACAATTTTACATTTGAAAGGAGCAAAATCTACATGGCATTTTTTTTGAAGTAGTAGGTAAACGTAACCACTTTAGGTATATTTTGATAAAATAGATGTCCTAACCAGTGCTCTAAATTTCTCATCATTTAGCGATTTTATGGCTTGTGGAAGATCTTTCCTGCGGATGTGAAGGGAGGAATTAAAATTATAGCAATAATTATAGTCATTTTATGGTCAATCATTCATATACAAATTATATCACCTTTTCTCACAAAGCTAAATATAATAATAATAATAATAATGTCCTTAGAAATCCATCCACACTGTGAGGCGAAGTTGGCTGGCTACTGTACCACTTAACCTCACAGCGCAGAAGCACATACAAGAAAAAGATATAACAATGTATAGCAATCGACTAACTAATATATATACGTACAATAATTAAGGCTTGAATAGACTAATCTTAAGATGTTACACATCTATACTACATGGCTCGCTCTATAAAAAAAAAACAAAAAAAAAAGAAATATATCAGCTAGCTTGGCTAGCAGACCCCAGAAGATGGTTCTTAATGGCTCTCTTGAATGCAAGTATTCAGTTCTTTAAAAATCACATCATTTACACCTGGATTGATGGAAATCCCGTTTAATAGCTGCATTATTGTTTTTTTTTTGAGGGCAAAGCAAATATTTTTGATAATGCTCGACATCCCCTACCACTTTGTTTATGAAGTATAAGTCCCATCAATTTGTCTTCTAAGCTATATCTGCGTCCCTGTGATTCACTAGCCAGTGTGATCTGGCTTTTGATAAAAGTAGCTACAGTGCTGTCCAATTGCTGCAATGCCTTATTTAATACTCCTCTTGTACTTCTGGTACCTCTAATCAACCTTCTTGTACATCCTAGTCTTCTGTTAGCTCTAGAGAGGTGACTGGCTATCTTATATAGCTTTTTAGCTTTTGGACTTAAGTGGGTTTCTCTGGTTACATGTACCTTATGCAATAATCCAGATTCTGTCCTTCAGGAACGTTAAAATAAAGAATGAAATTGATATTATAATATATATTATTATTTTGATTTTATATTTATTTACTCACATTGTTTGTTATCTTTGTACATTGAGTGAATAAATATTATTGTTATTATTATTATTATTATTATTATTATATATGTAAAGAATCCACTACAACTGTATTTTTACAAGACAATAAATTCAATAAAATGTTCCATTTGTAAATAAAGGCAAGTGATTGATAGTCAAAGTTGACCAAACTAAAGTTTCTATTATGCTGATGTGATTTGAATTAAAAATTATTATTATTAGTAGGTGTTATTATGTATGGAAACCAATGATCTTTTCAAACTTTCATAATTTTGAAGAACTTCTATTAAGATTTGCTTTTTTTGGAAAACAGTGTTTCCCTTGGTATAATAGGCTAAGATATTCATGCAAAATTACTTTAGTCACTTGCTTCTGAAGAATGCTCCTCAATGGGTTCTACTGTAGTTACATCAAGATTTTCTGCTTGTGAGGTGGGAACTGAGCAAACTTCTCCCAACTGTTGTGATGATGCTGAAGTTGATGGTTTTCCTGTAACCACACAATTTACACCATCAAAAAAAAATACATGATCATTTTTATAATGTTTCATACAGTTACTGTGCTATCATCAATAAACTGTTTTGGAACCTATTCTGGGAATGATTGAAACAACTACCAATGAGATGTTTGCAGTTAAGATAATGTTATCTCTAATTTCCCTGTATAAATATTCACCTTATAACATTCCTAGTGTTAACTGGAGTTCAGTCTAACTTATTCCAAATATAAATGATTACCATCAATGAGTTGAAATGAGTTTTTAATGGAAAATATTAACTGTATACTTCGTTTATTGAAGAAAGACACCAAACCCAACAATGTTCACACATATTTTATGTGATTTGCTACATGCACTGTGTTGTCTGCCAATGCCAAACCAGGAGGGTGGAGCAGGAGACACGAAGGTGCATGTAGCCTCAGCAGTCATGTAAAATATGGATGTATATGTTTGGATTTACTCTTCCTTTGAAAAACAGACTATAGTTATGTACTATAGTATCAATCACTTGTACTAAACACTGTTGAAAGTCACTACATAAAACAGTTTCCAAAAAGCTGAATATATGTAATTGAAGTTGAAATATGTAAAATTGGGTGATACTAAAAATAAAACAAACCAACATACCAAGAATTTCATCAGTCATGTTGGATATTTGTTGATCAGGAGTCTATGCCATACTGAAACACTGTCCTGACAGCCTCTAACTGCACATTTGCAGTAGCGAGACATGGTTTCTGAAAAATAACATTCAGTTACAAAAATATGTTCAAGTTAAATGACTCAAGGAAATAGAAATGTCGCTAAGCTCTAAGAAGACATGACAACATAAACAAAATCAAATTTAACTTTTGCAGTTGTAATAATGCAGTAATACAGTAATGATACAATATTAAAATTGATCATTTTTGCAACATATTTAGATAAGCAGGACCGTTGAGAAATAAGCTCGGGCTGCTATGCCGGAAAATTCTCGAGCCCCCATGCCGAAATATTCTCGGGCCCTTTTCTTGACATGAGCGAACCTAAGGACGTCTGTCCGGCCTGAAGTTTTATACCCATCATCTTAGCCTATAAAACTAGATTATATCACTATACTTACATTCTGCAATAAACAAGCGCCATAATAACTCAAATTTCACCATACATAAACAAAAAATAAAAGTATTAAACGGTCCAAACACAAAGAAGAAAGGAAGCATCTACAACGATAATTCGTATTCACAAGAACTCAGCAAGGAAAGAACCAACTGGTTTATTATCACTGGGTCTATCTCTGGGGAGGAGAGGAACCTGAGAGGAATACAAGCCACGCCACGTCACTGACAGCTGTCAAATATCAGCTTCCAATTCCGACAAATTACAATAGTGATACCAGCGGCATCCAAAAGATTGTTCTCCAACTAAAACGCTGTACCAATCCATGCCATAAGAGTGAATACCCCCTGATTGTGAGTCACACCCTAACGTCAAGTTTATTGCCCAACTTTATTTGACATTTCTTTGTTTTGCCAAACTCAACTATGGAGAGGTACACAATTGATCAGAGCGTTAAGATTGTCGAACCATTTTATGAAAGTGGGTATTCAAATCAAAATGTATCGTGCACTTCGTGATTTTTTTGGTCTGCATAATCGACCAAATGTGTCCATAATTGGCAGAGTGGTGCGGAAATTTCTGCAAACCGGGTCTGTAGGAAATGTGAAAACAAATGTGCATGCTCGCGCAGTTCGTTCTGCTGAAAACATTGCTACTGATTGCGATAGGGTGTCAGAGGAGCCGTCAACCCCGACCCAACGTCATGCTCAACAATTGAACATTTCACAGACATCACTGATGCGAATTTTGAATAACGACTTACAAGGTCTCACTCACCCACGAGCTGGAGCCGAATGATCATTTCAAGCGTCGTCAATACGCCGAATGGTTGGTTGAACAGACAGACGTAAATAATCACCTTACGAAGACAATCATCAGCGTTGAGGCACACTTTCATCTCAGTAGATTCGTTAACAAGCAGAATTGTCACATTTGGGCAAATGAGAGTCCAGGAGTGATTGCTGAAAAGCTGATGTATCCACAACGCGTGACTGGTGCGGTTTATGGGCTGGCAACGACATCGGGCCGTACTTCTTCGAAAATGAGGTCGGCCAAGCAGTTACCGTGAATAGTGTCCGCTATCGCGAAATGATAATGGACTTTTTGTGGCCAGCAATTGAGGATATAGAGCTGTCCGGTATATGGTTCCAACAGGCCGGTGCAACTTGCCACACAACCAACAAAACAATGGCTCTTTTGCGCGAGAAATTCAATGGCCGTGTTAACTCACGACGTGGCGATGTCAATTCTGCCGTGCTTAGCAGAAACGCCGTATATACAAAAAAATTGAAAAATGAGTTTTTTACATATTCTTGCTTGAATTCATGTTTTCTATATATAGAACTTAGCAAAAATGCCGTTTGAAGCACCTTAACCATAAAACAACATAACTATTTTGCAGTAACTAACAAAAATTTGGTTGCATGCTCATTAAAACTGCCGTATCTAACATTATTTAGCATAAATGCAACATCTTCCGGTCAGATTCTGCGTTTTTGCTAAGTACATGTGAATTGCCGCGTTCCTCCCAAGTACAAGTCGTGTCTTGACTGTTATTAATTATTATGATGATGCATTAAAAACGTGGTCAGTTGTTTGTTTTGGTCCGTGCGGATTGCAGTGTTTTGTTGAGGGTTGTTTTATTATGTCCAAAAGAACGAAACTAATTTTGGATCTAGCCATGGGTGCTACATACCAAGCTCCAGCTGGTATTTCTGAGTTACCTACACAAACCATTCTATTTGACATAAAAACTCAATTTTTATGATTTTTAGATTGCTAAGGATGCTAATCTTACAAAAGCTGGAACTAAACGCAAAAGAAAAAAATCACCGAGAGTTTGTTAAGCAGGAAAAAGAAAAAAGCCGAATTAATAAAAGCGCTGTCGGTCCTTCGTGTAATAAGGAAAAATGTAAAATTAGATGTTCAGTACTTTTTTCTGAGGATCACAGACGTGAAATCCATAACCAGTTTTGGGAACTATCTCATGCAGAAAGAAGATCATTTGTTTTAAGCTCTTGCGAACGTTTGGAAATTAAGCGTCGAACAACAGAAAATAATGCTGAATCACATGTTAGACATAATGTTTTCAAATACACCTTCAAAGACAGCCTGGGGTAAGAAAACATGTGTGTAAACACTTTTATTTGACCATTCTCGGATACAACCCAACGAATGATCGATTCATTTATGAAGTTCTATCAAAAACGCCAAAAGGAATCATAGTACCGTTAGAAGACCAACGAGGGAAAAGTCGTTCAGCAAACTTTATTCAAAAAATGAGTTAGATGCACATATTGAGTCTTATAATCCAGTTAGTTCACATTACAGACGTGCACATGCACCAAATGTTCGATATCTTCCCAGCGATATAACTGTCAGAAGCATGCATGCTGATTTTTTAGAAACATTTCCTAATATTAAGGTGTCGTATAATATATATAGATGTCAGGTTGAAAAGAAAAATATATCTTTTGCTAGACTTGGCAATGAAGAATGTGAAATTGTGTGAGTATGAAGCTTTATGAGCATAATGAAGATAGTCTTCAACCTGGATGTGAAACCTGCACGATTTGGAAATATCACATTGATATGGCTAAAGAGTCACGAGAAAAGTACCGACAACAAGCGCATGATAATGAAAAAAGTAACTCCTATTTTTCTGCTAACTTAAAGAAAGTGATAATGTTGCCAAGATTAGAGACATTTAAAAGGGTCTTATTTATCCAAAGGCTTTCAGTTTATAATGAGAGCTTCGTTCCACTGGGGAAAAAGAGTCTGGCAAAACCTTTTGCAGTACTGTGGCATGAAGGTATAAGCGGAAGAGACCAAGATGATGTTACAAGTGCATTTTATGCATTTTTTAAAAAACAAGGAGACTTAGAAAAAAACACTGTTAGGCTTGATAACTGCTCAAGCTAAAACAAAAATTGGTGCTTATTAAGTTTCCTTGTTTTCATTATAAATTCAAGTGAAATAAGTGCTGAAGAAATTGTCATTAATTATTTTGAACCAGGGCATACATATATGTCAGCAGACCATTTTTATCATCAAGAGGAGCTGTCCTTAAAGAAACAAGGAAAAGCGTATGATTTTCCAGATTTTGTTAATGCTGTATCCCAAACAAATAAGGGAACAGTAGAAATCAAAAACATGTCTTTTTCCGATTTCTATTCTTTCAAATCTTTCGTTTCACAACAAAAATTAAAGAAACAAATGAATCGAATTTATCTCAAAGACATTGTTCAGATTACCGCTCGCAGAGGGCAATATTATCTTCTTTTCAAAACCTCACATTCGGAATTGGAGCCGAATAATTGTTTAGATTTTCTACAGTTTAAAGCAACCAAGCCCAATGGTATGAAATTGCCGGAGCCGTTACATAAGCCTCGCGGTTTTAATTCAGAAAAAAAGGAAAACATTTTAAATGTGTTGAATACAATAATGCCTGAAAACAGAAAAGATTTTTGGCGAAATATACCTGCTAGATCTGATTCCAATTAGTGTTGTTCTTTGGTATTTAGCGCATATCATTATGAATATTTGTATTTTTGTTTTTAGTTTGTAAGAGAATCAAAACAAAAAGTCTGTTTTTAAATATATCGAGAGTATAATTCTATCTGTCACAAATTATTGGAAAGTAATTAGCAGAAACACTTAGCAAAAACGCAGTACCGCAATAATCTCAAGCAACATGTGACTTTCATTATACTTCTTGCTTAAGAGAAATGCAGTTTCTGGCTTGAAAATAAAACCAGTCATTTTTTTTCTACATTTTTGTGAAAATATGTTTTCTCAATTGAATATACTGGGTTATGACAATAGAAGGCAGCGAAAGTATTTGAACTCTCTTACGGCTCTGAAAAAAAGAAAAAACATGTTTTCCTCCATGCTTTATTTTTTGTAGATGCGGTGTTATCGCTAAGCACGGCAGAATTGGCCACCACGATCATGTGGTTTGACACCGTTAGACTTTTTCATCATAAGAAAAAAGTTCTATGAAAGCTATTAGTTTTATTTACAATTAACATCGTGCGTTATGGTTGGATCTCCTTATGGGGTACTGTGTTCTGGACGCAATTGATTGTACCAGAGTGTTGCATCCCTGAGCAGCGATAGCCACCAGATCTGTCGTCAGAGAGGAAGTCAAATAGGGGATCGTTGATATGAAATAGAAAAAATGTCAGAGTCGAGACCGATCCCTGGGCCATCGTTTAACAGAAAAAAGTACACGCACCAACAAGATTCATAAACTGCTCATGTCTATGGCATAACTCATCACCGAAAATGAACCTCAGAGCAGTGACAGTGCAATCCATCCACAAAGATAGTCGAGACAAAGAAAGAAAACCAATTCTATGAGTTCTCTCACGTACTCTCACCTTGTTGCGCTAATATCTTAGTGTGGAGAAAAGTGAAAGTGAAAAAGCGTCCTCATTTCATCATAATATAAATTGTTGTTCCCTCCCCGTTTGGACGAATGCCGAAAAAATGTTGGTCAAATGCGACCCTAATAGCTGGTTTTCTCTTTTTTATCTGACCCAAATT